CACTACTTTTATTTCTGAACCGCTGGAGAAACTTTTTACTGGGGACCAGTTCTTCTCTTCCGCTGTAAACTATGGATTCTGAAAATTCATCCGGTGTTTCTTCCGGAGCCTCTCCCCTTCCCAATTCTTCGTCTTCTGAAGACAACCCAGTGATGCAGATTACCAGTTACCGTTTAAACGGTAAGAATTATGTGCAATGGTGTTAATTGTTGGGCTTCCTCCTTCAATGCTAAGCCCAAGCCCATTGAGGGGTTTCCTAAAAACCATAACCCTAGATCTCACCTCCTCTATATATTCATTAGTTGTGGGTGGAGGCTAGGTTAAGAGATTTGAGAGAACAAATTTGAGAGAAAAATTATTTGATTGTTTGAGTAAAGCTTTATGCTTTACATTTGAGAGATCTCTAGAGAGAGTTTGAGTGAAACGTCTCTAGGGAGGTTTGATTATCACCATTGTTGGAGAGGTTGAGTTAACCACAACAATGGTGTATTTGATTCTTTGTAACCATTATTTCATAGTGGATTTTTGATCTGGACTAGGTCCCGTGGGTTTTTACTTCTTCATTGAAGAAGGTTTTCCCACGTTGAATCTGGTTGTGTTCTTCTTCTCTCTCTCTCTTTCCTGTTTTTCGTTTTAATTTTTCCGCTGCGCTGCCCGACCTTGTGAAGTTCAGGCCGAGGTATTGCCGAGATCCGAGATCAGGATCTTGTTGATTGACTTCCTCACAAAGGCTGCTTAGCCGAGCTTGAGGGAACCGAATTCCCAACATTAATTTGTCAAGTTGTTGATCCAAGCAAAGGGAAAGATGAGGTATCTTGTCCGAAAAAAGGAAAAAACCAAAGAAGGTAGTGGACCTAGTTACGGTAATTGGGTGACTTAAAATGCCTTGGTCACGATTTTCTTGCTGGCCTTAATCATGATCTTGATGATGTTCATGGAAGAATATTGGGGCAAAACTCGTTACCTTCCCTTGTTGTTGCCTTTTCCAAGGTGCGACGGAAGGAGCTTCGCCGAAAGGTGATGTTAGGTGACAAGGACTCTATGTTCTTTAGCAAAAAAACTGCTCGTCCCACTGGTGATTCAAAACGTACTAACCGTTGGGAAATCTATGGAAAACCACCAAACTGGAAACAAAAGGGGCAGAACAAGAGTCGTGCTTATCAATTCTCTTCTGATGATAAGGTTGAGGAGTCTTGTGTCTCTCCAAATTCTGATGGTGTTTTCATCTCTAAGGCTTAGTATGGGTAATTTCAGAAGGTGATGTCTCAATCTACTGAGGCAACTAGTCATGTTGCTCAACAAGGTATGGCATTCCATGTTGATCATAATAGTTGGTGGATTCTTGATTTAGGGGCTTCTAATCATATGACACGTAATGCAACTTTATATTGTTCTTATACCCCTTACTATCACCTGTCACGAATAAGAACAACTGATGACAGTTTATCGACTATTACGAAAAAAGGATCCATTAACTTTCTAAATACATTACTTTGAACTCAGTGCTTCATTTTCCTCTTTTACTTGTAACCTCATCTCTATCAGCAAACTTACCTCTGAGTTACATTGTGTTGCTATGTTCTTTGTCAATGCTTGTTTTTTAGGAACAGGACTCAGGGATGATGATTGGCAGTGCTAGAGAGAAAGAAGGGCTCTACTATTTTGAAGAGGATCCTTATGAAAAGAAAATTTTTGCAAACCATTCTTTATGTTTGTCTGATGATTGTAATGATGTTTTGTTATGGCATCGTTGGTTAGGACACCCAAATTTGTTTTATCTTCAGAAGTTGTTCCCAAACTTTTTTATCAATAAAAAACCAAGTTCCTTTTTTTGTGATATTTGTCAGTTTGCAAAACATTCTCATGTTTCTTTTCCCCCTAGAGTTTATCATGGTTCTCCATTTACCTTGATTCGTAGTGATATAGAAGGAGGAATCCTCTTTTCGACTCTGACTCTCCCACTCCAGTCGTTGCTTTTCTTTCAGTTACTTTGAAAGTAGCCGCTTCGACTCTAGCCACTTGAATTTTCGATATTCCTTTTTATTTCTCATCAAACAAATGACATCTTCTTCTGAAAATCTTAGCTATTCTTAGCATGATATTGGGGAATCTCATTGCTATTACCCAAACAAGAATGAAATGTATGCTTGCATATTCGTCCGACGGGGACCAGCTCGCGAAAAAATAATCCCTAGTGCTTGATGGTTTATTACTTTCATTGATTTTCATTCTAGGGTATGTTGGGTATATCTTCTAAATGATAAGTTTGACGCTGCATCCACTTTTAAAACTTTCATGCTATAGTTCAAACTCAGTTACAAACCTCTATCCAAATTCTGCGGTCTGACAATGGTACTGAATATTTTAATTCTGTTCTTGGAGATTACCTAACCCAGCATGGTATTCTTCATCAAAGTTCTTGTTGTAACACTCCTTAACAAAACGGGGCGACTGAAAGAAAAAATAGACATCTAATTGAAGTTGCTCGAGCACTTTTGTTTACCATGCATGTCCCTAGATTTCTGTAAGGGGAGGTTGTCTTGACTGTATCATATCTCATCAATCAAATGCCTTCTCGTGTCCTAAATTTTCATTGTCCTTTATCTTGTCTTACCGAAACCTTTCCTTCTTTCTAGCTCTCTCTTCCCTTCTTTCCAAGTTGTTTGGCTGTGTGGTTTTTGTTCATGTTCCTCCCCATCAAAGGTTCAAACTTGATCTTGAGTCTATTAGATGTGTCTTCATAGGTTATCCTCCTAACAAAAAAGGTTACAAGTGTTACTCACCTTCTCTTCGTAAGATCGTCGTTTCTATGATGTCACCTTTTATGAGACACAATCCCTCTTCCCTTCGACTTCTCTTCAAGAGGAGCCTATTGGAGTAAATGAAGATAAATCTTGGAAACCAAATGATTCTGGTGTCTTACCTTTGACTTTGGAGAATGGGGGGGTTATTGTGCAGGAAATAGGAGCAGGTATTGTGCTAGAGACCGGAGATCCTTGCGGTACATGGGAAAAGTTTTACAGTAGGCGTAAATTACCTGAGGAACCTCTAGATTGCCAGGATTCTAACTAGAGTTCTAGTTCCAACAACCCAATACTTGAATGTGCTGATACAACTGACCTAAATGTACTGCTCATCCTATTTCTCATCATATCTCATGAAAAGTTATCCCCAGGTTTTCGTGCTCTCAACACTATGTTAGATAGTACAAAAGTACAAAAAAAATCCAAGAAGCACTTGATAACCCAAAATGGAGGAATGCAGTCTTTGAAGAAATGGAACACTTAAAAAAATGTAATTTGGGAGTCCGTAGCATTATCCAGAGGAAAGAAAACTGTAGGTTGTTAGTAGGTGTTCAGAATAAAATTTAATGCAGATAACAACATCAACAAGTATAAGGTCAGATTGGTTGCTAAGGGATTCACTCAGGCTCATGGGATAGATTATCAGGAGACGTTTGCTCCTGTTGCGAAGCTTAACACTATATGAGTCCAACTATCACTTGTTGCCAACCTTGATTGGCCCTTGCAACAATTAGATGTAAAGAATGGCGTCTTGAATGGTGATTTACATGCAGAAGTTTACATGGATCCACCACTTGGTTTTGAAAAAGGAGACGGTTCAATATACAGGTTGAAGAAATTTCTCTATGGGCTTAAACAATACCCTATAGAGTGGTTTGAAAAATTTACTAAAGTTGTTAAGGGAAGAGGATTCTTCCAAGCTTCGACGGAACACATTTTATTTTTTAAACACTGACAGTGGTAAAATTGCTATTCTCATTGTTTATGTTGATGACATAATTGTCACAGGTAATGATTATGAGAAGATAAGCTCTTTGAAGAAGTGTTTAGCTGACCAGTTCGAACTAAAGGATCTTCGATCTCTCAAATATTTTCTTGGCATGGTAGTTGCTCGTAGTAAAGTAGGAATTTCTTTAACTCAGAAGAAATATATTGTAGACCTGTTACAAGAAACAGGAATGCTTGGGTGCAAGCCAGCAGAGACTCCAATTAAACCCAATTGGGAAATGAAGACGGGAAAGAAGTTGTCAGGGAGCAGTACCAAAGGTTGGTGGGGAAATTGATCTACTTATCTCACACTCGGCCTGATATTGCATTTGCAACTAGCATGGTTAGCCAATTCATGCATTCTCCTAAGGAAAAACACCTTAGTGTAGTTTATAGAATCCTTAAGTACTTCAAAAACACCCCTGGTCGAGGAATGCTCTTTAAAAGAGGACACAAGAGGATGATTGAAATCTATACAGATGCAGATTAGGCTGACTTTGCAATGGACAGAAGATCCACTTCGGGATATTGTACCTATGTCTGGGGAAATCTTGTGACCTAGAGAAGTAAGAAACAAACAGTTGTAGCCAGAATCAGTGCAGAAGCATAATTTCGAGCTCTAGCCCATGGAATTTGTGAAAGAATTTGGTTAAGAAGACTTCTTGAGGAATTGAAGATTCTTTATTCCCTACTTCTCAGGTTGTATAGTGATAATAAGGCTGCTGTTAGTATTGCTCAAAATCCTATTCACCATAACAGAACAAAACATGTGGAGGTTGATCGTCACTTTATCAAAGAAAAATTGGAGGATGGTAGTATATGTTTGTCCTATATACCTACCAAATAGCAAAAGACGAACATTCTCACCAAAGGATTACACAAGCCCACCTCTGAGGATTCAATTAGCAAGTTGGAATGATCAATATATATCTCCAACTTGAGGGGGAGTGTAGAATATTCTAGAGTATTATAATTAGTTTTATTTCTATTAGCTACTAGTTGTTACTTGTTAGACCCTTTGATTATTGTGTTCTCTTTATTACTGCAACTCTCGAGCTACCATTGTAATCTGTATATAAGGAACCCTTTGGGTCCCTAAATATATATGAAAAATTATTCAGAATCATATTTCATCAGTTTTACATTCTTCACAAAGTGTAAACTATACGGAAACAATGTATCTTAGTAGCAAGCCAGTCACAAACTTACTCTAGAGAAGAGCCCAGGGCAATCAGAAATGAGTCCAGCTAAATTACGAGCAGCAGGTGAGCTAGCTGACTCTCGAACAGTAACGTTGATGAAATAAAATGTAGCCAAGTTGTCAATAGCAGTGGCGCACTACATAACGGAAGCAAATTTAGAGTACAAATGTACACCAAAAACAGCATACAATAAATTGAGCGTAGTTTCCCAAATCATGAGCAAATAAAAATTGATATGCAGTACATAAATCGAAACTTGCATTTAATATTGTAATAACGTTGGAATTATCACAACTAAAACATGCTCCAAGCTTCTACAAACCTGTGATGATATTTTCTCACTTAAATCTTTAAGGCCCGATTCAAGAGATCCAACAATAAGCATAAATGCATTTTTATCCAAACTCAGAACAAATGATAAATGACCATTGAAGAGAGTCTCCAAGAATGCAAAGTAAGCTGCTGCAACCTGGAAAATAGAGCAGGAAAAAAAAAAAAAACTTGCAACTTAGATATCTTTCAAATGATCAGAAGCTACAACTGCAATACGCAATGTCAGCAGAACCTCTAACAATCATTTTGTTTTCCTTTTATACCTGAAACTCAGCAGCAATACATTTCAGTTCTTTCTTTGCGAGGCATTATTTTGTTTTAAACTATAATTCAAAAACATCAGGAGAAACCCAACCTCTGTTAACAGGACAAATGAAAATATAGTAGTCTTTTGTAATATGCGAGGGATTAGTTCCGTATTTTATACTTTATTCATTCTTTTACTTGGCTGAGTCTATATAGTAGACTGATGTACATTGGAACAGTGTGAAATAATATTAAGTATTTCCCATCTTTCAACTTCGCATCAAAGCTCTGATCTAGGAACCTCTACTTATGTAAAAACCCCAAGTCTGCCTCCTGTGCAGGATCGTTTTTTGCCTTAAGTGCATTCATTGGCAGTGCCTCTCTTCCTGGGAATGGAAGTTGCTCACTCTAAAATGAAATCTTCATGTTTTAAAGGAAGTAAACACTAGACTTATTACACAGAAAGGGTATGTAGGGACACAAAGCAATTAACACCCCAATGGAACCTGCAAATCCATCAGCTACGACTGTAGTATGAATACCAATAGTAAGATGATAAGAGATAATCAGATCACTTAAACAAGTCATATGATCGGTTGCACTAAACCCATAATCTATGAAATTTTGAAATTGGCGCAAGCAAGAAATTATGTAGAGTGTGTTCTTACAAGCCATATTGCCTATAAGATTATGAGATCATGCCTTTATCGCAACTGTCTATCTCAAACTCTCTACTTACTACAGCGTTAAATTTCAAAATTCTATACACCAAACTTTATAACATGTCTCCACATTATAGTTTCTTCAAGGTGTTTGGATGTGCCTGTTTCGCCTTTCTAAGGCTATATAATAGTTAGTTTAGATCCAATAAGTGCATCTTTCATGGCTATTCTCCACGTCACAAAGGATATGAGCGCCTCAATTCTGAAGGTCGACTATTTATCTCTAAAGATGTACATTTTACTTGGACAAAATTTCCTTATTCTTCTTGGCTTAAGATGGACTGCACTAACCCCAAGTCACAGTTTTCTTCCTCACCAATTTCTAACTTGATTCCTTTTACAAAATTTCACTTACATGGGCCACAATCACCTACTTCTGCCAATGGTAGGACTAATGTTGTTACTTCAAGTTCAAGTTCACCCCCTTTGCCAACTCCAGCCCACGCTCTAAACCAATACCTTCTAATCAGTCTACCTCTCCATCCCAATCTTCTCTACTCAGTTATAGGTACATTCACCACACCAGTCCTCTCTTCACCCTCCTCGGGTAATTCGGCTTCCCAACTCCCTTATCACATACTCTTTCTACTCCTCCCTCTTCTTCTACTTCTACAAGCTCTAAGGGATCTTCACCCTCCTCAGGTAATTCGGCTTCCCAACTCCCTTTTCACATACTCTCTCTATTCCTCCCTCTTCTACTTATACAAGATCTAAGCGAGAATACATATCATCTGGTTCCTTGGATTCCTTTTCTCCTACTCCTTCTATACCACAAGGTCTAAAACACGTTTCAAACATGAAGCTTTGCTTACATCCCTTGAACCTAGTGTTGTAAAACAAACTTAGGCTAGTCATAATTGGCTTGCTTCTATGCAAGCCGAATTCAATGCTCTCCAAGAAAATAAAACATGGAGTCTTGTCCCTAGAGTTAAAGAAAATCAAGATGGTTCCGTTAATTTACACAAAGCTAGGTTGGTTGCAAAATGATTTCACAAACAAAAAGGTTTTGACTACAAATAAACTTTTTCTCCAATGGTGAAACCTATTACCATCAGAACTGTAAAGAATCAATTCAACCCAAAAGCTTAAGGTATTGGGTAAGGCTACATTAAAGGTTTTTATATATCTCAGGTCCAGCCTACCTGTGCTAAAAAATTTCACAAAGAAAATGGGGGGCTATGAGGATCAAACTCGTGACACCGAGGCTCTGATATCATGTAAAGAACAATTTCAACCCAAAAGCTTGAGGCTACATTAATGGTTTTTTTATATCTCTAACAAGAACCATTCTTACTATTGCTATTTCTTATGGCTGGGTTTTAGGCAGTTAGATGTTAATAATGCATTCCCTTGATAAAATGGTATACATGAAACAACCCCAAGATTTGAGTGTTTCGACAAATCTCTTGTATGCTAGCAACACAAAGCTTTATATGGTCTAAGCTCAAAGTATCTCTTATTCAGTTGGGCTTTGCTGCTAGCAGATGTGATCCTTCATTATTTGTTTACTGAAGCACAAGCAATGACTCTGCCTTTGTTTAGAAACTAATTCAGCAACCAAACTGCAACTTTTCTCTAAAAGATCTTAGTCTTCTCAACTACTTTCTTAGCATTGAAGGTAAAAGAACTGGATCGAATGCTATCACGCTCTCTCAGTCTAAATGCATTCATGATTTGTTGACCAAAGCAAATATGGATGAAGCCAAAACGATATAGTTGAAAGAAGAGTCTTATAGATAAAATTATGTCTTACATCTGTACAATTGCTCTCTATTTAAAGAGACTAAATAACCTAATGGGCTAAGCCCAAAGAAGATTCTAGAATGAAAATAAATAAACAAATATTATTATTTACAAGAATCCCCCTCAAGCTGAGGAATAGATATTTATCATTCTCAGCTTGCTAGTAAGCTCTTGAAACCTTTCTGAGGGAAGTCCTTTTGTTAGAATATCAGCTAACTGGCGTCCAGAAGGGATGTATGGAGTGGTAATCAAACCGCTATCAAGCTTTCCTTTGATAAATGACGGTCCACCTCAATGTGCTTAGTCCGATCATGTTGAACTGGATTATAAGCTATACAAATGGCAGACTTATTATCACAAAACAACTTCATAGGTCCATCACATCTTATTTTAAGATCACCAAGTATAATTCTCAACCACAATAATTCACAAACGCCTTGAGCCATAGCTCGAAATTCAGCCTTAACACTTGATCTAGCAACCACGTCCTGCTTCTTACTCCTCCGAGTCACTAGGTTACCACAAAGAAACATACAATAACCAGTGGTAGATCGACGATCAATTACGGATCCAGCATAATCAGCATCGGTATAAACTTCTAAAGAGAGATTGTCATTACGCCGGAACAACAGTCTTTTACCAGGAGTGCTTTTTAGATATTGAAGAATTCTCTCCACTGCCTGCATGTGTTTTTCTTTTGGATTATGCATGAACTGACTTACAATACTGACAGCATAAGCAATATCTGGTCTAGTATGAGCCAAATATATCAGTCTCCCAACTAACCGCTGATATTGTCCTTTATCAACTGGAGGACTCTCATCTTCATAACCCATCTTGTGATTCTGCTCAATAGGAGTAACAGAGGGTTTACACCCAAGTTTTCCCGCTTCTTTTAGAAGATCAAGGACATATTTCCTCTGGCTGATAAAAAATCATTCCTTTGAATGAGTTACCTCTATCCCTAGGAAATATTTCAATCTCCCAAGATCTTTAATTTCAAACTCAGAGGCTAGCCGTGCTTGTAGAAAATGCTTCTCAGCAATATCATCACCTGTTATAATAATATCATCAACATATACAAGGAGTACAATTATCTTCCCATTTTGGGAGTGCTTGAAGAATAGTGTGTGATCTCCTTGACTCTGTTTATATCCTAAGGCCAGCATAACCTTAGTAAATCTCCTTGACTTACAATAGTGTGTGAGATATAAGGCTCTATTTATATCCATACAAGGCCTTTTTTAACCTGCAAACTTTATTTCCTCCATCCATAGAGCCAAAGCCAGGTGGGATTTCCATGTAGACTACTTCTTCTAACTCACCATTAAGGAAAACATTCTTCACATCAAATTGATTCATATCCCAGTAGTAATAGGCAGCAAGGGACAACAAAGCTCTCACAGCATTCATTTTTGCAACTGGGGAAAAAGTTTCTTCATAATCAATGCCATAGATCCGAGTGTAACCCTTGGCAACTAACCGAGCCTTATATCTCTCAAGAGTACCATCAGAATTATATTTCAAGGCATAAACCCATCTGCACCCTACTGCTTTCTTTCTATCAGGTCTATCAACAACCTCCCATGTTTTATTTTTCTCCAAGGCATTCATCTCATCTTGCATGGCTCGAGCCCAATTCTCATCTTTTAATGCTTCATGTACTGATTTTGGGATTGAGATAGAATCTAATGCTGAAATAAAGCTTTTGTGCTGCACAGAAAGGTTAGTAGAAGAGACAAAATGAGAGATAAGGTGTTGGGTACAAGATCTTTTTCCTTTTCTTAGGGCAATAGGTAAGTCATCAGAGGTACTGGGTAAGCTATCAGAAGCAACAGGCAAATCATTAGATGCAACAATATTAGGTTCAAAAACAGGAGAAGTAATAATATTAGAATCAGAAACAAGAGATTCAGGACTTACCAGTGGTTCAGACGATTGAGGTTGCTGGTGAAGTAGTGTGGGCTTCTTTCTCCTGTGATATACCAACTCAGGTGTCATAATCCTCTGTATTCTCGGTGTATCAGATGGGTCAGACACAAAAGAATCAGATGTAGGAGGAAGAGGTGTAGGAGAAGGCATGGAAGGTCCAGACTCAAAGATAGAAGGTGATGAATCTACTGAAGAACTGCTCTCCCCCTGAAGATGAGGACTTGGGGAAAAAGACTCAGATTCATGAAATGTAACATCCATTGAGACAAAGAATTTCCGACTAGTAGGATGATAACACTTTTAGCCTTTTTTATCAGAGGCATAACCAAGGAAGATACATTTGAGAGTCCTAGGATCCAACTTACTGCGAAGATGTTTATGAACGTGGACAAAGACAACACACTCAAACACTCGTGTTTGAAGACTCTGCATAAAGGGAACATAGGGAAAGAATGAAGTCATTGAGAGAATAGGACTTACACTGTCAAGGACCCGAGAGGGCAAACGGTTGATTAAGAAAGCTGCAGTAAGAATGGCATCTCCCCAGTAGGATTTGGGTACATGATTCTGAAAAAGTAAGGCATGAGCAACTTCAAGAAGATGACGATTCTTTCTCTCAGCAACTCCATTTTGTGGAAGGATGTCCACACAAGTAAGTTCATGAATCATGCCTTGATCTTGGATGAATTTGAAAAGATACTGATTGACATATTCGGTACCATTGTCAGACCTTAGTCTTTTAACTCTTTTTCCAAATTGGGTCTCAATCATTTTATAACATTGAAAGAATAACTGTGGTACCTCAAATTTTTCATGCATTAAATAAACCCAGGTTACACGAGTGCAATCATCAATGAAACAAACAAACCATTTATTAGCAGAAGCATGAGGAACTTTAGAAGGACCACAAACATCAGAATAAACAAGATCAAAAGGCTCAACACTTTTAATTGTACTAGAAGAAAAAGAGACACGTGGTGTTTAGCAAACTCACAAACATCACAATGAAAACACTCAACAGACTTAGACAAAAATAATGATGGAAATAAAGACTTAAGCAAACGAAATGGAGGATGCCCCAAGCGTTTATGATGGAGCCAAATCAAAGAGTCGGCAGTAGACTGAAACTGAGTCAACAAGGTGTGATCTTTAGCATACTTTGCAGAAGATTCTGGCACCAGATAGTACAGCCCAACTTGCTCTTTAGCACCCCCAATCGTCTTTCCCGTGGTGAGATCCTGAAAAACGCAGTGAGTTGGGAAGAAAGTTACAGTGCAATTCAAATCTTTGGTAATTTTATGGATAGAAAGAAGATTTGTGGAGAGTTTGAGAACATAAAGAACATTTTGGAGATGTAAGGAAGGCTATAAATATGTTACCGGAACTCGCAATTGATGTGTGTGAGCCATCAGCTACAGCTATTGTATGGGTGCCAATAGTAGGGTTATAAGAAAGAAAGAAGTCAGCACAACAAGCCATATGATCAGTAGCACCAGAATCGATAATCCAAGAATGTTTAAAATCAGTACAAGAAGAAAGAAAAGAATGAGTAGTGGAGCTCATACCAGCCATGGCCAAAGCACTAGTATTAGATGGCTTACTCAGAAAATCAAGCATAGTACGAATCTGCTCCAACTCATTTTGGCGAATAGAAATAAATTCCGAAGATGCACCATTTGAGTCTGCCATAATATTGAGGTGAAAATCACACAAACGCAAATCCAAATGATGTCTGACCGAAGAGAAAACACAGATCTGGAAAGAGGAGACAAAACCAAGCAGGAAAAGTTCATTTTTTTCGCGTGAACAGTACCCGGTGAACAGTACCGCAATGAACAGTAGCAATGACAGTGCGCGTGAACAGTACCGTGAACTGTTTTTTTTTTTTTTTTGAGTTGTTCCGATCGTCTGATGAAAAAGAAACCTCCGTAGAATGATAGATCTGAGAAAACGGAGTGAAACAGGGGTCCTCACGGTCCAAAAGGTCTCCGAATTTTATTTTTTTTTGGCGGCAGCGAGAGAAAAATAGGGTTTGGTTTTTAAAGGCGGTGATTTGCGGAAGCAGAGCCCTCAGAATCGAGAGCTTTGGTACCAAGTTGAAAAAAGAGATAGTCTTATTGATAAAATTGTGTCTTACATCTGTACAATTGCTCCCTATCTAAAGAGACTAAATAACCTAATGGGCTAAGCCCAAAGAAGATTCTAGAATGAAAATAAATAAACAAATATTATTATTTACACCAGATATCTACCCAATGCCTTCAAGACGTAAACTATCTAGATCAGGGTCCAACTATTACCCAGATCCCACACTTTACGTATTTGTACTTGGTGCATTTACAATATGCAACCTTAACCATACCAAAATCACCTATGCTGTCAACAAGGTTTGTCAATTCATGAGTTAACCCTTGGAAGAACACTAGACTATTGTAAAAAGGATCCTCCGATACTTGATGGATACCGTTTCTCATGGTCTGTTGCTCAAACCATACAATTCCAACCGTCTTCTTAGTGTCACAACTATTTGTGAAGCTGATTGGGCTACTGACCTAGATGACAAAAAATCTACATCAAGGGCTTGTGTTTTTCTTGGCTCATACCTAGTCTCTTGGTGGTGCAAGAAGAAAAATCCCATTGCTCACTCCAGTATTGAGGCTGAATACCGCAGCCTTGCCTTGGCCATTGTTGAAGTTCTTTGGCTCAGATCTCTTCTTCAAGAACTCTAGATTCCATTTAGCACTCCTCAAATTTCCTGTGACAACTTGAGACAGTATCTTTGTCCCATAATCCTGTGCTTCATGCCAAGACTAAGCACATGGAATTGGATATCTTCTTTGTGAGGGAACGCTTTCTTGCCAAGGATATTTTTGTTTCTCATATTCCTGCCCTGAATCAAGTGGTTGACAGTTTTACTAAAAGCCTCTGATCTCCAGATTTGCTACATTGTGAGACAAACTCACGGTTGTTGATACTGGTATCTTCACTCATTGACCCTGAGTTTGAGGGGGGCTATTAGTATATACAAAGTCACTTATTTGTTTACTTTATTAGTTACTGTGGTTCTATCTACAAAGGATTATATTTTATTAATTACTTAACTACTCAGTTACGGCTTAGTTACTTTTCTGTTGCATTGTTGTAACTGACTCACTTGCAGAGTCACTTACTTAGCTCGATAAATGGAGCATAGCTGTAACACACTTGTGACTCATTCAATATGGAAAAGACTCTTCTAATGTTTTTCTCTCTCTCACATTCCTTTCTCTTCCTTTCTTCTCTTTTCTTTGACCATTTACGAAGAGATTGTCTCTCCTACTTTCAAGTAGATTAGTATGCAACTGTTACCCTAATTCCCCATTTAATTGTAATCCATAAAACATAAGGAATGTTTAATATTGTCTGCAATTACACGTAAGGTTTGACAACTAAGTGTGCCTTTAGAAAAGCTTCTAAAAAAGCAATAATAAGATTGTGTATTTTGGAGCTTTTTATTACACAATTATTATATATTTTTTAATTAAAAAAATATTTTTTTCTTTAAAGAAGCACAAACACAGGTTCCCCTAAAGTGTGTTTTTAATATATACTACATATATATTGCAATTTACAACACAATTTGAAGAAACCAAAGGTTGAAAGAACTTTGTCAACCAACACAGTAGAGAACGTGGCATAAAAGTTGAGCAATACCTTTCGAAATGCAAACATATCAGCCAAAGGAATTGATAATATCATCTTTACAGTGATATCAAGAGCATCAACAAGTGCTCTATCCCCATAGAGTTCAAAAATTCCAAAGTTGACAAAGTTCCCCGATAGTGCTGCGACAAAAAAAAAAGGAAATGAATAAAATAGAACAAAAAAAAACTCATGAGCAATATAAATATATCATACTCCAACATAAAATGTTTACCCAATTACTTTTTGCTTCAAACACAAAAGGAAATGGATTAATAGATGATATCATAAATAACATTGCAAGTGGAAATGAAGCAATCAACCATAACAAGCTTAAGCAATATATATGTAAGAGAATATATATATACATATATGTAAGAGAATATATATATATATATATATATATATATATATGAAAAAAACATTTCTCCAACAACTTGAGATAAGTTTATCTCCGGCTACTCCAAAATTACGTCGTTTTGTTTATTTATTTTCTTAAATTAATTGATTCACCTTTTAATGGTTATGATTCCCTTTTTCTCTCTCTTCTTTTATCACCGTTGATCCATCTTTGTATGGTTATAATTTAGTAGCCGCAGATAAAATTATCTCAAACAGCTTGAAAAACGATAAGCCCATATAAGGAAAAACATTTCTCCGGCAACTTGAGATAAGTTTATCTCCGGCCACCCAAAACTACGTCGTTTTGTTTATTTTTTTCCTTATATTAATTGATTCACCTTTGAATGGTTATGATTCCTTTTTTCTCTCTCTTACTTTACCACCATTGATCCATCTTTGTACGGTTATAATTTAGTAACCGGAGATAAAATTATCTCAAGCAGCTTGAGAAATGATAAGCCCACATATATATATATATATATATATATATATATATATATATATATATATATTTTAAATATTAGAACTATTTTATTATTATTTTATAATAGTTAGAATACTCTATAAGTGTATTTGGGCTTAGCCCATTAGGTTTTTTAATCTATTTAAATAGAGAACTCTTGTACAAATATTATATAATTCAATAATATACAAATATTCTTTTCTAGTTGGTATCAGAGCTCTCGATTCTAAGGGCTCTGCTTCCGCAAATCACCGCCTTTAAAAACCAAACCCTACTTGCCTCTCGCCACCACAAAGTTGCCACTGCAAAAAAATTTCCGAGGACCTTTTGGATCGTGAGGACCCCTGCTTCACTCCGTTTTCTGAGATCTATTATTCTACGGAGGTTTCTTTTTCATCAAACGACCGGAACAACCAAAAAAAAAAAACGTATTGTTCACTAGTACTGTTCATCGGTACAATTCACCCGACACTGTTCATCAGGAAAAAAAAACGGAAGAGAAATTTATTTTATTTTACTGTTCTGATCGACTCTGTTTGATAAGATCACACACCCTACATCTCTTCTTCTTGCACTGATTTCAAAAATTCAAGGATTATGGATTCTGGTGCAACTGATCATATGACCTGTCCAGCTGATTCTTTTCTTTTATATCACTCTACTAGTGGTATCCGTACTTAGTTGTAGCTGATGGATCCCACAAATCAGTTGTGGGTTCTGGTAACATTCAAATTCAACCTTCCTTATTTTTAAAAAATGTTCTTTATGTTCCTCAGCTCTTTACTAATCTTATCTCCACTTATAAGCTTACAACTGACATGAATTGTGCTGTCACATTTTTTCCTACTCATTGTGCTATTCACGATATCACCACGGGGAGGACGGTTGGAGTTGCTAAGGAGCAAGGTGGGTTGTACTATCTTACTCCATAGCATGCTACACGAGATACCAGAAATCAATTATTGATGAATCATCACCCGTCCACTTCATTCTCGTAGATTTGGCACCATCACAAATGCCTCGGGAACCCGTCATTTGGATTATTGAAGTCAATGTTTCCTTCTTTGTTTAAGGATCAGTCAATTGACTCATTCCATTGTAATGTTTTTGAGCTAGTGAAACACCACCATGTGCCATTTCCATCAAGTTCAATAAAGAGTATTGAACCCTTTACTCTTATCCATTCGGATGTTTGGGGCTCTTCTAAAGTACATAATATTTCAGGTGCTAGGTGGTTTGTTTCTTTTATTGATGATTGCACTTGGTGACACAGATATTCTTGATAAAAGACAAGTCAGAAGTACCAGAATTGTTTATTCAATTTTATCAAATGATCGAGACACAGTTTGGTAAAAGTATTAAGGGATTAAGATCTCACAATGGTACGGAGTATGTCAACCAGCGTCTGTCACAATTCTTTTCAGATAAGGGTATGATTCATGAGCTCACATGTGTGGATACCCCTCAACAGAATGGGGTTGCTGAAAGAAAAAACCGACATTTGCTTGAAGTCACCAGAGCATTACTGTTTCAGACATCTGTACCCAACTCTTACTAGGGAGAAGCCTTATTAACTGACACCTATTTGATCAACCGCCTACATTCCAGAGTCCTTGGCCATGTAAGTCATGTTGATCTCATGGCCTCTTTTTTCCCTTCTGTTCCAATTATGCAAAGTCTCCAGTCTCGTATCTTTGGATGTATTGCCTTCGTCCATATCCATAAACAACATCGGAGTAAATTAGAGCCTAGAGCCCTTAAGTGTGTCTTCCTTGGTTATGCTCCCAACAAGAAAGGATACAAATGTTACCACCCTCCAAGTCGTAAATTATCTGTCTCTATGGATCTGAGTCTTACTTTCTACGCCCTCAGCTTCAGGGGGAAAACAATAGAGAAGCTTCATCTATTTTCTCCGAGTCTGAGTCTCCCTTTCTGTTACCTACATCTTCTACTCCAAGAGTTACCTTACATCACAATGAGAAGGAAGACTTAATTGTTGAGGCTGAAAATTCATCTGATTCCTCATGTGACATGCCTCCTATAGATAGACAGAAAGTACGCAAAGCTGGGAAACCCGAACTGTTGTACCAAAGGAAGAAACAACCCACACTACCCCACCAGCAGCTGCAATTGCCTGAACTGCTGTTAAGTACGGAACACACTACTTTTATTCCTGAGTCTGATATTAATTCTGATGACTTACCCATTGCTGTAAGAAAAGGGAAAAAGTCTTGTACCCAACACCCTATTTCTCCTTTTGTTTCCTCTAAGAATCTCTCTATGCAGCATAGAAGTTTTATTAGAGCACTTGACTCCATTTCAATCCCGAAATCAGTACATGAAGCATTAAAGGATGATAATTGGGTTCAAGCCATGCATGAGGAGATGAATGCACTGGAGAAGAATAATACATGGGAAGTTGTTGGCAGGCCAAAAGGAAAAATGACGGTAGGGTGCAGAAGGGTGTATACTCCAAAATATAATTCGGATGGGACTCTTGAGAGGTATAAAGCACGATTGGTAACCAAGAGATACACACGGACCTATGGTATTGATTACGAAGAAACATTTGCTCCAGTGGCCAAAATGAACACTGTAAGAGTTTTATTGTCCCTCGCGGCACATTTTAGCTGGGATTTAAATCAATTGATGTGAAAAATGCCTTCCTCAATGGTGAATTAGAAGAGGAGGTTTACATGTAAATTCCACCAGGATTTAACTCTACATATGGAGACAATAAAGTTTGCAGGTTAAAGAAGGCGTTGTATGGCTTGAAGCAATCCCCGCGTGCTTGGTTTGGAAGATTTACCAAAGTTATGCTTTTATTGAGATACAAGCAAAGCCAAGGAGATCATACGCATTTCTTTAAACATTCTCAGGAAGGTAAGACAATAATCCTTCTAGTTTATATTGATGACATTATTATAACAGGGGTTATATATGTGAGAAATGTGCTCTGAAAAAAAGACTGACTGCTGAATTTGAAGTTAAAGATCTTGAAAAACTGAGATATTTTCTTGGGATAGAAGATGCTCATTCAAAGCAAGGGATATTTATTTGTCAAAGAAAGTATGTTCTTGACCTCCTTAAAGAAGGAGGAAAACTTGGGTGTAAACCTTCCAGTACTCCGATTGAGCAGAATCACAGACTACTACTAGGAAGTGAAAGTAAGAGCTCTCCAGTTGACAAAGGACAATATCAACAAATAGTGGGAAGATTGATATATCTAGCTCATACTAGACCTGATCTAGCTTATGCAGTTAGTGTTGTTAGTCAATTTACGCATGATCCGAGGGAGAAACACTTGTGAGCTGTGGACAAAATTCTCCAATATCTGAAAGGCACACCAGGTAGAGGACTATTGATCCAGAGAGGAGGAAACATATCCTTAGAAGTTTATACAGACACCGATTATGCTGGATCCGTGACTGACCGATGATCTACTTCGGGCTATTGTATATTTCTCTATGGAAATCTTATAACATGGAGAAGTAAAAAGCAAAATGTGATTGCTAGATCAACTGCAGAAGCAGAATTTCGAGCTATGGCTCAAGGTATCTGTGAGTTATTGTAAAGAACCAATTTAACCCAAAAGCTTAAGCTGTTGGGTGAGGCTACATTACTGATTTTACATTACTGGAATTTCTTTCTTCGCACAGGTAGGTGGGCCTGTGCATTGTACACCCTTCAAGCCCAGCGGGCTCTCGTGTGAGAGGGCGTATTAAGATATATAAAATCATTAATGTAGCCTCACCCAACAACTTAAGCTTTTGGGTTGAATTGGTTCTTCACATGGTATCAGAGTTTCGTGTCCCGGGTTCGACCCTCATCGCCTCCCACTTTCTTTCTAGTGGAATTTCTTTCTTAGCACATGTAGGTGGGCCTGTGCATTGTCCACATTTCAAGCCCAATGTGCTCTCTTATGAGGGGGCGTGTTGAGATAATAAAAACCATTAAAAAGCCCTCACCCACCAGCTTAAGCTTTTGGGTTGAATTGGTTCTTTACAGTTATTATGGCTGAAAATCATTCTCGATGATCTCAAGGTGAGATATGAAGGATCTATGAAGTTACTTTATGATAACAAGTCAGCTATTTGTATAGCCCACAATCCAGTTTAGCACGATTGAACCAAACATATTGAGATCGATTGCCACTTCATTAAAGAGAAATTAGACAGTGGACTCATCACTACTCCGTATATTCCTTCTGGTCGTCAATTGGCTTATGTCTTAACTAAGGGTCTCCCTAATGATAGATTTCAAGAACTTACTACTAAGTTGAGAATGATAAATATCCATTCCTCAACTTGAGAGGGAATATTGTAAATATTAGAATTATTTTATTATTATTTTGTAATAGTTAGAATACTTTATAAGTGTATTTAGGCTTAGCCCATTAGATTTTTTAGTCTCTTTAAATAGAGAACTCTTGTACAAATATTATATAATTCAATAATATACAAATAATATACAAATCTTCTTTTCTAGTACAAATCTTCTTTTCTAGTATATATATATATATATATATATATATATATATATATATATATATATATATATATATATATATATATCATGACAAAATTACTTAAAAGGAGCAAGTAAAAATCCAAGCAAAACGATATTTAGAATATAATCTCATTCGATAATTATAAAAAGTGCGTTGGGCGGGGATCTAAAAAAAGAATTTACCACTTGGCATTTAGGTCTGGTGACAGAAATGTTACACAGATCAAAACCTAGATAATATATCATGCTTCCAGTGTAACAGTCCCTTCCACCACATCGAAAAATAAGAAAAGGATCGATAACTATAGTAATATGTCAAAGTATATACATACCTCGAGCAAGAATTATCAAACAAATTGATATCCCCTTGTATTTGGATGTGTACATGTCTGCTTTGTTAGGAAGAGACAAAATTTTTGATCCATAGGCAACAACCAGTTTACTGACTTCTCGAAAGAGCAGTATGCCATTAGGGGAAGAACACTCAAAAGTCAATCGCTGGGATTTGTTCTGGACTAGTTCAGCCATTAATTTCAACAGTGGAGTTGTTACCTACATCATGTTCTTGAAATCAAACATCCATCCAGCATGATGACAATAACAATATTTAAGAAATATTGGAGGTTCATTTTAACATGCCTTTTTCAGCATTTAATTGGCATTCAAGGATATGGTAACTAAAAGTTAAACATTGGTTGGAAGATGTGCAGGATTAGCATTTTTTACATGAATTATTTAACGCCTTCTTAAAATGCTAAAATTAGCCAAACTTAAGAATGAGGCCTATTGTTAGAAAGGTTTTACCCATTTTTGCCCTTTGGGACCAGGTATTTGGATCTCTATTATAGTGTCAACTTGATGAAATTGGAGGCTCTCTTCAAAAGATGACAGATCAAAGAGATTTTGCAAGTATTTTTGATGTGCATTAGTCCAGGCTACTTTTAATATAGTGGGGAATCTCAGGTTTTTCAGACTCGCAAGATTTTTATTTTTATTGGACGAGTCCTGAATTCAGGAATTAGTGACAAAAATCATAACCAAGGCCCTCATCCCAATATGTGGATTCAACTTTCATGGATCAATGGACAAGACTAGGCTCTATCAAAAGTCAAATTTTCAGCAGCAGCACTTTGAACAATGTCTTTTTTAATGTTGTAACCAAAAATTTAAGATATTCTTCTTTACCACTTTTGATTGGACTATCTTCCATTTGACCAACTTTTCTCATTGGAAACTTCCTCGCTTTTCTCACATGACTAAACCACCTTAGTTGCAATATAGGGCAGATGGCAAACCCCGATGCACAAGGCTCCCAGATTTACGAGGGAACAGATGAAGGTTGATTGGTCGCAACCTTACCCTTACATTTTTACAGAGAGATTATTTCCTAAACTTGAACCCGTGGCAATCTGTTATGAAAATATAAAAAGTACCACCTTTCCCCCTGCTGGACCCTTGTGTGCAATACGAACTCAGTAGAGTAGGAATCTCATCTTTAATCAAGAAGTTAGTGAGTATTTGGATAGGCTTTGTTTCTTATAAAAGCTGTTTTTTTTTTTTCAATAAAAAAAAAAGTCCTTTTGAAGAACTTGTGTTGGATATCAACTTTTACAAAAAACAGAATTTAAAATAAAAGTTAAAATGGTGCTTTTTTTAGAAGGCAAGATTCCTTGTTTATAAAAAAAGTAAAAGTTAAAGATTAAATATTTTTTTAAAAATCCAATTTTACTTCAACCTTATTCTAACCACTCCACCCCACTACCACCACATATCTTGTAAATTTATATATAAAAGGTGCTTATTAATTTTAACATCCAAATAATTTTTTTATTTAAAAGTGCTTTTTATGTGGTTATCCAAACGTGAAATAACTTCGGTGGGTACCGCTAGTTCTTGAACAGCCAACCATCGTACTGTAAAAATGGGATAGAGCCTACCTATGGTCCAACTTCTAAAAAAAGTCATTCGAAAAAAAGTAAGCCATAAAAAGTCATTTTTTTAAAAGTCCATCCAAATGGGCCTTTAGTTGCAATCATATATGAAGTACAAAGAATTGATCAAGATTGATTGCATAAAACTGTTCGATGGAAAGCAAATACTAGATTCACGCAATAAAAAATTTGGTAAATGATACAATGACAAATTATACAAAATAAAGCCGAATTAGGATGAGAATATTATACCAGTTATTTTTTTATCATTCTATAAACTGCATTGAAAGGAAAGAATGATGCATACCTCTGGGATATCAGCAAAATGTGCAATGCCTTTCAAAAGAAGTGGCATGCGTGCAGGATAAAGCCAATCAAAAAGGAATCCATATGTTCTACGACTGTCAAAAAGCAATTAAAAGAAACCAAAATAAACTAATACTCAACAAAGGAAACAGTTCAACAGCAATAAACCAACGAGCAAATAAAACAGAGGCCCTGTTTGATTATGTTTTAGTTTTTTTGTTCTTAGTACAGTTTTGTAAAATTGTTTCTAAGAATTGTTTTTCAGAACAAAAGAAGAAAAAAATCTGCTTGATAAAATTGTTTTTAAAAGAATTTTAAAACTCAAAAAACAAAAAAATTTGCTTGGTAATTTTGTTTTGAAAACATATTTTCAAAGTTAGAAAACATAAAACTCGTTTGATTATTTTCTTCATTTTGTAAGTTTGCCCACTTAAAAAACCCAAAAGCTGGGATCCAATCGTTGGTGAATCTCTTTGAAATCTGCTCAACCAAACTGTTTGATCCCTGAAAACTAAGTCTCTCAAATGCTTAAGCAACTTTCTTCAGAGAAGAATGTTGTTCCTTTAGAAGAGTGCTGATTGTTTAGATATACCTGAAAACATAGATGTATTGCAAAAACTAGTTTCAAACTAACAAGGACTTATTTTTCTTCTTTCTGTGTGTTTATTGATTGAAGAGGATAATGATAACAGGAGAGAGATGGAGGGATTGAGAGGAAAGTTAGAGGTGAAACGAAGAAGGGGAAAAAATTGAAATCGTAAATGATTTATAATAATATGTTGGTATTTACACTATTGCCATTAATGAAAAGAGAGTGTTCTCCGTGTTTGTGTAATTCTCAAAACAAAAAACGCGAAAACCAAAACAAAAACAAGTCAAAGGTGTTCTGAGATTTTTGTTCTAAAAACAGAAAACCGGTAATTGTTTTTAAAACTATTTTTAGGAAACACTCTTATCAAACAAATTTTTTGTTTTTTAATTTTCAAAACAAAAAAAAAAAACTGTTTTCTAAAACACTAATCAAACAGACCCAGAGTTTCAGATGTTTTAAATCAATGCCGAACCTATTAGTTGCCATTGCTATTCCTCGAAGGTCTCGCATCAACCCAATAAATGCATATTTTATGGCATCAGATTGGAACAATGCATCGGGTGTTGAATCTAATCTAACCAAAACCTTATGAAGAAGAATTATCAATCAGAATAAAGAAATAATCAAACAGGACAAATCAATAATAAAAATTAAATTGACAATACTATACTGTACATTTTGCTGCCATATTTTATATTTCTAAACAAGTTAGGCAGAATGCAATGGAGGTGCAATGTCACAGAAGAAGCTGAAGAGCAGAATCTTATTAACCAATTAACAAACAATGGATAAAAAGACTAAAAACACAATATTTTAAGTTCAACGATATACATGTATGTGGAGTACTTGTTTGCAATCGATCCATAGAAGAGGTGTACCACTGTATTATTTTGACCTTTATTTGTCCAAAGATGTAAACAGTGTCTTGTGTAACGTAATAAAGAAACTTTACGATGGAAATCAGAAAAACATCTTTTCAAAAGATTTAACAGTTGATTCATAAAAAGGAAATTAAAAGAAAAAGTAAATAAAAATCTAAACCTTCTAAAATTTAACATTACATTTTCTCTAATGATTCAGAAATCAAAAGTGTGCAAGCTAGAAATTTAACATGAATTGTAATGGCAAATAAAACTACCAACCTGTAGAAAAGGTTCCATTGAAGATTTAAATTTCAGGGGGCTGTCTTCCATGAATACCAACATGCCAATAGTATAATACAGAGTTGTTCTGCTGCGGAAACATTCCCAATATTCTAAAAAAGGGAATTGCTCCCTCTGAAAAAGAGAGGCAAACTTCTCCCTTAGAACTTGTTAATATGAACAAGCATGCATAAATACAAAAACTAAAAAAAGGAGTAGTAGTTTAAGTTCTTTTGTGCGTAATTGCTTGCTAAGAAAGTTTCACCGGTGATCATTCTTGCAAAGTTTCTTCTTCCCTGGTCATGAAATATGTCCAACAATATATTCCTAGCAATACTTACCTCTCTTACGTCTCTAGCACCCATGAGTTGCCTTGCTCTCCATGTTTTACAAAGTCCAATTTATATTTGTGTATTTTTTCTATTTTTTAAAGTGTCCATTTGTAACAAGCTTAAAGGTTGGTAATTTTTAACTTGAAGGGGAGCGTTAGAATATCTAGAAAGTCTTATAATATTATTATTGTGTCTTTGAATATTTTACAGTATCTTAGATGGTCTCTTATGAGAGATTTCCATTTTTTTATTATTTTTTATACAATGATGGAACTGAGATTTAAACTTCTGAACTCATGCAAACTACCCAAACCCCTCACCACAACCAATCCCAGTGGCTTGAGCTTTCCATTTTTCATTATATTTCATGGTTTGTTTCCTTTAATTAATTAAAATTAGGAGTTTAATATTAGTAAACATAAGGGTTCGAGTTTTGTATTTTGTATCACATCATTATATACAATATCATATCATTCAAAGTCTTTATTTTCTCTTTATCTCCTTCACTACATGAACCCTATAATTTCAACAGTAATAGTTCAAGAGCAAAACAGCAACAAGGAGGTCAAAAGTGCATCTCATCCTTATTAGTTAGAGGCAGCTCACATTCTGATTCGAAATTATGTGTTTAACAGTATCCAACTTAAGAAGCAGCTTTCCTGTCATGTATCTACAAAAACAAAATCCTTATCAAATTAATAGACAACAACCAAAATACAAAATTAGGTAAATAATAAATGCTAATACTCCAAGGAAGTTGAGATGGAACCAGACTGACCCAGATGCCAGTTCCAGAAAGAGACTTATGGTATGATCAATAACCTCTTTGCACTGCAAATAGAGATTCTCATATTATGAAATCAATATTAATAGCAATGCCAAGGATTCTGAAATCTACAATCCATCACCTTTGTGTAATACTTAAGATTGGTGGCAATCTTTACTACAATAACATTAAGTAGTAGTAGATGATCATGAAGTCCAAGAAGTTCGGATAACCGGGCATATAACTGCTGCAATTACAGTCGACAAAAACAAGAAAGTGACAATGACTGAACTTTCTTAAGAATATATGAAATTTGAAAGTAAAACAGCTTCCCATCCATTACCTTGGAAGAAAGAACAGCCTGGTCACCAATATAACACCTTCTAAGATGTTGTAAAAAAGTTAGTATGGCACGATCAAGTCTTTGCTTGCTCAAATCACTATGCCTCTGAATTATCCAAAAATCAAAATTCAAAACTAAGAAATAGGACAAGACTTTAGTGCATTTAAAAAGGAAGGCTGATTTAAAATAAAAATCAACTACAACTTCATGCTATTATCATTAGTTGAATAACAAGAAAACAAGAGGCAAATGTTTGAATCCGTGATTCAATAGCATAAGGGAGGCTTTTATTATATAAAACTACTATAACAATTACACAAGACCAAGATAACGATGTGGGGACAAGTTATCAACCTATTTTCAAAACTTCTAACTCCCTTAAGCTAAAACTTGTTACAAATGAACCCTAACAAATGAAAAATTAACCAAATAATATATTAGGCCCCTACAAAACATGGTGGCAAAGTCAACTTAGGGATGCTGGAGATGTCGGAGAAATGAAAATTGCTGGAAAGTCAACTCAGCAATGGCTAGAATGACCATCAACGGAAATGTCCAAGAAAGCAAATATACATAGCAAGAACTAAAACTTTTCCAAGTTCAAAAGAACACCAATTGGAAGCTTTAATCTCACGAAAACTCAAGAGACCCAACCAAAGCGCATGTCGGACAAAGTCTGACGGGCCACTATGTAGTTGGGACAAAATTTCAACGAAGCTGTTGAATAATATCTTAGAATATCTTCTATTTTAGGAAATAAATCCCATAATTTTAGGGATTGCACATCGTGGATTAATTAATTAAAAAAAATTATATTTTATTTCCTTTTTAATAGTGATTATAAATCCAATATATGATGAATCGGCTGAGGTATTTCCTTTAAGCCATTTAGAAATTCCTTTCAACATGATATCAGACATACGTTCTGTCCAGCCATCAAAGGAACCTTAGGTCATGCACCAGCCCTTAAGAAACCATAATTTCATATCTATCCCAGCCTGCATGCAACCCGAGGCAACCCTATCGCACCAAAAACCACCCCTGCACCTTTAGAGGCTTCCAATCTGGCACCATCCAAAAGCATCGTCATCAGAAACCCTGCCACACGCCGCCCTCTAGAGCTCCTTTTCTCACGCTGCTATTCTCATTTGGCTCTCCAGAAGGTCCTCTATCAGTTTTGGTGATTAATCTGATGAAATATAAGACTGAAATGTATTTTTCATATATTGATTGACACCCAAAGGGATCTTTATATACAGATTACAAAGTAGTTAAGGAGTTGAAGTAATAAATAAAATACACAGTAACCGAAGAGGCATCACACTACTCAAAGGAACAAGTAGCTAGAAACAAGTAGAAAACTCTAGAATATTCTACACTCCCCCTCAAGTTGGGAGATATATATTGATCATCCCCAACTTGCTAATTAAATCCTCAAATATGGGTTTGTGTAATCCTTTGGTGAGAATGTCGGCTGTTTGCTCCTTGGTAGGTATATATGACAAACATACACTACCCTCCTCCAATTTTTCTTTGATAAAATGACGATCAACCTCCACATGTTTGGTTCTGTCATGATGTACAGGATTTTGAGCAATACTGACTGCAGCCTTATTATCACAATAGAGTCTCACAGGTAGAGAATAAGATATCTTTAATTCTCCAAGGAGCCTTCTTAACCAGATTCCTTCACAAATGCCATGAGCTAGCGCCCGAAATTCTGCTTCTGCACTGCTTCTGGCAACAACAGTTTGTTTCTTACTTCTCCAGGTCACAAGATTTCCCCAGACATAGGTACAATATCCTGAAGTGGATCTTCGGTCCATAGCAGAGCCAGCCCAATCAGCATCTGTATAGATTTCTATCATCCTCTTGTGTCCCCTTTTAAAGAGCATTCCTCGACCAGGGGTGTTTTTGAGGTACTTGAGGATTCTATAAACAGCACTAAGGTGTTTTTCCTTAGGAGAATGCATGAATTGGCTAACCATGCTAACCGCAAATGCAATATCAGGCCGAGTGTGAGATAAGTAGATCAGCTTCCCTACCAACCTTTGGTATTGCTCCCTGTCAACATCTTTTCCATCTTCAATTCCCAATTTAATATTGGGTTCAACTGGAGTTTCTGCAGGCTTGCACCCAAGCATACCTGTTTCTTGTAGCAGGTCTAGAATATATTTCTTCTGAGATAAGGAAATTCCCGCCTTGCTACGAGCAACTTCCATTCCAAGGAAATATTTGAGAGATCCAAGATCCTTTAGTTCAAACTGACTAGCTAAACCCCATTTTAAAGATTTTATTTCTTCCCAGTCATCACCTGTGACAATTATGTCGTCAAGATAAACAATGAGGATAGCAATTTTGCCACTATCGGAGTGTTTAAAAAATAAAGTGTGATCAGTCTGAGCTTGGATAAATCCCCTTTCTTTAACAACACGAGTAAACTTTTCAAACCACTCTCTAGGGGATTGTTTAAGTCCATAAAGAGATTTCTTCAACATGCATACTGAACCATCTCCCTGTTCAAAACCAGGTGGTGGATCCATGTAAACTTCCTCATGTAAGTCCCCATTTAAGAAAGCGTTCTTTACGTCCAATTGATGCAAGGGCCAATCAAGGTTGGCAGCAAGTGATAGTAAGACTCGGATAGAGTTAAGTTTGGCAACGGGAGCGAACGTCTCCTGATAGTCTATCCCATAAGTCTGAGTAAATCCTTTGGCAACCAATCTGGCCTTATATTTGTTGATGTTGTTATCTGCATTAAATTTTATTGTGAACACCCATTTGCAACCTACAGTTTTCTTTCCTCTGGGAAGTGCCACGGACTCCCAAGTTCCATTTTTTTTAAGAGCATCCATTTCTTCAAAGACTGCATCCCTCCATTTAGGGTCATTAAGTGCCTCTTGGATATTTTTTGGTATTTTTGTACCGTCTAATATAGTGTTGAAAGCACGAAAACCTGGAGATAACTTTTCATATGAAATGTGATGAGAAATAGGATGAGCAGTGCAAGATCTAGTACCTTTTCGAAGGGCAATGGGCACATCTAGGTCAGCTGTACCAGTGTTCTCAAGTGAATTGCTGGAACTAGGACTCGGGTCAGAATCCTGGCAGTCTAGAGGATCTTGAGGAGATTTACGCCTGCTGTAGAATTTTCCCCATTTACCGGGAGGATCTCCAGTCTCTGGTACAATTGTTGTCCTTGTCTCCTGTACATGAACTCCCCCTGACTCCAAAGGTAAAGAAACAACAGATGTTTCCAAGGGTAAAGGTAAAACAGTAGAATTATTTGGATTCCAAGACTTGTCTTCATTTATACCAATAGACTCCCCCTGAAGAGAAGTCGAGGGAAAAAATGATTGTGTTTCACAAAAAGTAACATCCATAGAAACAAAGACCTTTCGAAGAGAAGGTGAGTAGCACTTGTAACCTTTTTGATTAGGAGGATATCCTATGAAGACACATTTAACAGACTTATGATCAAGTTTGGACCTTTGATGTGGAGGAATATGAACAAAAACCACGCAGCCAAACAACTTTGGAGGAAGGGAAGAGAGAGCCCGAAAGGAGGGAAAAGAGCGGGTAAGGCAAGATATGGGAGAATGAAAATCCAGGACGCGAGAGGGCATCCGATTGATGAGATATGAGGCAGTCAAGACAGCCTCCCCCCACAGGTATTTAGGGACGTGCATTGTAGACAAGAGGGCTCTAGCAACTTCAACGAGATGTCTATTTTTCCTTTCAGCCACCCCATTTTGTTGAGGGGTGTTAGGACAAGAACTTTGATAGATAATACCTTGCTTGGTTAGGTAATCACCAAGAACAGAATTAAAATATTCAGTACCGTTATCAGTTCGCAGGATTTGGATAGAGGTCTGGAATTGAGTTTGTACCATAGCATGAAAATTTTTAAAAGTGGCTGCAGCTTTAGACTTATCTTTTAGAAGATATACCCAGCATACTCTAGAATGATCATCAATGAAGGTAATAAACCAACGAGTTCCAGATATATTTTTTTCACGAGCTGGGCCCCAAATATCACTATGAATCAATGTAAATGGAGACGAAACATGATAATCTCTAGGGAAATAAGAAACACGAGAGTGTTTTGCAAACTGACAATCATCACAAAAAAAGGAACTTGGTTTTTTGTTGATAAATAAGTTTGGAAGCAGCTTTCGAAGATAAAAGAAATTTGGGTGTCCTAAACGACGATGCCACAACAAAACATCATTACAATCGTCTGATAAACATAAAGAGTGATTTGCAAAAAATCTCTTTTCATGAGAATCTTCTTCAAAATAGTAAAGCCCTTCTTCCTCTCTAGCACTGCCAATCATCAGCCCCGAATCCTGTTCCTGAAAAACACAGGTTTTGGTAGAGAATTTAGCAACACAATGCAATTCAGAGGAAAGTTTACTAATAGAGATAAGGTTACAAGTAAGAGAAGGGACATGAAGGACAGAATTCAGAGTAATATGTTCAGAGAGCTTAATGGATCCCTTTCCCGCAATATTAGAGAAACTACCATCAGCAGTCCTTATTCGTGACTGGTGATAATAAGGGGTATAAGAACAAAACAGGGATGCATTACCTGTCATATGATCAGAAGCTCCCGAATCAAGAATCCAACGACTACTATGATCAACATGGAATGCCATACCTTGTTGAGCAACATGACTAGTTGCCTCAGCAGATTGAGACATCACCTTCTGAAATTGCTCATAATTCTTACCGTTTAAACGGTGGTTAGTAATCTGTATAGTTGGGTTGTCTCCGGAAGACGAAGAACAGGGAAGAGGAAAGACACCGGAAACATTACCGGATGATTTTTCAGAATGCTTATTCTCAGCCTCAATATTTTCAACTTCCATTGTTCAAAATAAAAAAAAAAACAAAAAAGGAACTCCAATCGTTCAGAACCGAAAAGTCACGAAGAGGAACCAACTGGACCCAGCAAGAAGAGTGCTCCAATCGTGATTTAAACCCCCAGAACAGGAAGAGGAAGGCCAGGCGAGCCGTTCTGTGAAAGTCGCGTGACAAACGGAGGCCGGTAGGGCGGCGCGTGGCTCACACGCGCCGGAGAGGCAGTTCTGCAGTGGCGGCGC